CACCAACCCTGTCACTGCCATCCCACTCCCATATGGGGTTAGCTTGTCTATATGCCTGCCCATCTCCCAACTGAGGCTGCGATGCCCAGCTCTGGTGATACTCACCCACCCCCAATACTAGTGCCTCCCTAGAGTCTAGCCAGGCTGTCCCATCCATTCCATCCCAAGGATTGTCCATCCAGAGAAGTGGCCCTAGAAGCTAGGGTTGCTGGGAGGTGTGCCCGAGAGAAGGGTGTTTTAATTCACATCGTGTTGGACTTTTCTGCTCTTCTAGAGGCATTCTGGAGTGTCCTGAGTAAGAACCCTTTTTAAGCCCCCAGGAACCTGGCCTGAAGGGGTGGGTGGTTAGGACTACTGGACCTGAGAGACAAAGCCAGCCATACAAGCCTGGCCCCAGGGCAGAGAAGCTGGAATGGCTGAAAAAGTCAGATCAGGGCCTAGCAGTAGAGATACCCATAGGGAGCCATCTCCCTAAACAGAGCTGCCCCCAATTCATTGCCAGAGGGAGATGACAAAACTGTAGGTGCCCTGGACGTCCTGGTTGCTAGGCGGCAATGGAGGCTACGCCAGCCTGCGGGTCACCATGGTAAGTAACCGCAGAGCCCCATTGAGCTGTTAGCCCCCTACACCACCATGGGGTGGGGGGCAGGAAACGCCCAAAGTGTCATCTGGAAAGCTAGTGGATGGGTGGCAGTCGGGTCTAGGCAAAGGCCCAGGCCAGGAGAAAAGACCCAGCTGACTTTCACTTCCATGTTTTCTTGCCTCCCTGCAAGTCACACCTGCATGTTTGAGCCAGGCATAACAGTTGTAGGAGAAAAATAAAATGGAGCTTTGGATCAGCCAAACCAGATCTTTCATTTTACAGATGAAATAGAACCCAGAGAGGGAATGACACTTGTTGGGTGACCACACAACTTCAGTCCTGCAAATAGGGCTGAAGAGAAAATGGAAAAGAAGAAAATGATGCAAATGACCAAAGACCAAATCTAGAATGTGTTCTATTGTTTAAATTATCATTTTTAAATTTAAATTGTTTTAAACCCCAGGATTCATCTGATAAGTTAAAAAAAAAAAACCACAATGCCACATGTAACCTATGAATCTCCTTTAGCTGATCATATGAATATATTTCTTCTTGTACCATTTTCTTTTTTTCTCCAACTAACGTCTTTCCCTCTTTGGGTTTCTATTTCATCCTTAAAGTGAAGGAGCTGGCTTAGTTGACCTCAAAGGGCATTACTCTTTATAATAAAGCAAAGCCTTCATTTCATAAACTCAGCCAGGTTAAGGGGGCACACGTTTACTGGGCATGCAAGTGGGTAAGATTCTCTTGGGGCTACAGTCCACTTAGCAGTCAGATGTCTCTGTAACTGGGCCCCCGGCAGGCTCAGTCTAAGGACAGCCTAGCCTGGGCCCTTGGATTCATGTATCTGGTTGTAATGTTAGAGAACATTAGCCATGAATAAAAATTACCTTGTTGAGAATAATTGCAAGTTAATTAACTTGCAAGTTTATTTTAAAAACAAAAACTCATGGGTACCTGGGTGGTTCGGTCAGTTGGACCCTCACGTCATGATCTCAGGGTCCTGGGAACAAGCCCCGCATCAGGTTCCCTGCTCAGCAGGCAGACTGCTTCTCCCTCTCCCTCTGTCATTCCTCCACATGTGCCCTCTGATTCTATCTTTCTGTCAAATAAATAAAATCTCAAAAACCAAACAAACAAACTCAGAGGTGTCCCTGGGTAGCTCAGTTGGTGAAGTGTCCGACTCTTGATTTCAGCTCAGGCTATGATCTCAGGGTCATGAGATCTGGCTTGGTGACTGGCTCCATGCTGGGCATGGAGCCTGCTTAAAATTCTTTCTCTCCCTCTCCCATTGCCCCTCCTCTACCCCCCAACAAAAAATAATAATAAAATAAAAGGAAAGACACAGTTCATCAAAAAGTATGATGTGAGAACAATCTTGTTTTAATTTCTAATCCCTCATCTTTTCTCTGCCCTCCTTCCATATTCTGTCTTTGGATCATTTTAGAACCACTTCTTGGTTTCTAAGCAGAGTCCCCTGTGTTTGACTGGGAAAGCCCTCAGATGCCATTCATATCTTGGAGTGCCTGGGCTTCCCACACTCAGGGGATCCTGAAGACTCAGGATCGGTCTTCCTACACAACTAACCACATCCCAGTCATTGAACACCCTTGTCTCAGATAACAGAGGTATCTATCTGGGGGAAAGCCTTTCCTTGAATAAACTTTTTCATTACGCCATGCCCATGAGGATAGGGTGGGACCAGGCCACAGTGCCAGGCCAAAGGTGGGATGCTAGCATGCACCTGGGGCTCCACAGAGAAACAAGAGACTTGATAAACAAGGGGGCAAGTGACTGGGAGAGCAAGATGGCTAAGCCAGAAGCTAAAGTGAGGTCTTTTGGCACCTGGCCCTTGTGACCTTTGCAGGGACTACATTGCCCTTGAGGTGTCACTACTTGGATCCAGCCTGAGTCAATGCAGCTGGGATGGAGCAAGGGTCTGTGGGTCGCTTCAGCTCAGTCCAGGGTAGCAGGAGACCACCAGGGCGGTTTGGTGAGGAAATCAGGGTAGTAGGGCTCAGAAAACGTGGGCCACATAAGTGTTAGGTGAAATTTTGTCGAAGTGAGAAGTATTCAAGAAGTGAGAGGCTTCAAGCTTGACGTGAGGGTAGTCGGCAGGGTCAATAAAGGTCCGGAAGCTGTCAAATTAATGTTCGTATTGTTAGGCAGCGAACTTTGCCAGAGTAGAGGGTCCCAGTGGCCAGCAGGTGGCGCTAGAGCCCAGCGCTCCGGGGACTGATGTCTGGACGTTCCAAACTGTAGCCGGGGTAGGTCTGATGTGAGAGGACCCGGCGCTGAGAACTGGCTTCCCCTCCTGTCTGACTCGGAGCTCGGCCTCAAATCTGGCAGTGGATGACTGAAGCTACGCAGCTTCCACTCGGCGTCTCAGTCGTGTCCTCCTGGCCTCAGAGTGCATGGAAGACAGGGGACCCGAAGCCCGTTGGTCCAGATCGCTGGTTCTCTGGCTGAACAGAGTCGGATCTGGGCGAGCTACCTGCGTCAGGTCCCATTTTTTTCTCACGAATTCTCATGGGAACCAGGAGGTGGAACATTTTATGAACTGGAACTTGGATATTCTTGTGTTGTGGGGTAGGCCCCAGGAAGAAGGCTTGAACCCACAGCGGGCCAAGTGAGGAATTGAAGGAAGGCCAAATCCAGGTGGATATTAAAGACAGAGCAGGTAACGTGGAAGGCATTTGGCATTAACGACGGGCCTTTTCTCCTCTGCCCTGGCTGGCACGAATCCCGCTGAAGAGTGCACCATCCGCTTCCCCAACAGAGGGGAGGACTCCTGCCCCCGGTGTCGCGGGGTGTGAAGAGGCTTTGGAGCTCCCCTCGGGCACCCGGGGGCCCCTGCCAATCTTCCTGGGCAGGACCTCAACTGGACCTGTGAGGTGGTCTTTTCAGCCACAGTTCTCCAAGTCCGGACCAGACGCCGAGACGGTTGTCATGGAGACCGGAGCGCGGGGGGGGGGGGCGGGGAGAAAGTCGCTCCTGGTTGGCTGCGAGGCTGGTTAGCACCACGCCGGCCGCACAGCCTCAAAGGTGTGGACTGGTCTCGGGGAAACTGGCCGCTCAGCCGTCTTCGCCCCGTGGCCGGATGACATCAGCCTACCAGGACACCTGACCTTCCGCCGCAGAGCCGCAGAGCCCGCAGGGTAGGGCCGCGCTTCTCCGGAGAGGAGGCTGCCGCTCCCCTCTCGGTGCCCTTGGCCTTCCCGGCCACAGCGCAGTCCCTGAACGGAAAGAAGGGGACCATGAAAAACGAAGCTCAACTTTGCCTCGTTTGGCAAAATCTCGCCGCTGAAAGCTGGCTTTCAGTGCTCCACCCACCACTCTTAACTTGTCAGTTTTGCTCTCTGTGTATTCCTTACCAATTTTCCAGTGCATCAGTGCAATTAAAAACGTTTTAAAACGATTCCACCCTGGGTTCAAGTTGCTTAGCCACAGCGGCAGATACGCGAGTGCAGTTGTGAGTTCCCTGGAGGAAACCCACCACCAATACCTGATTGAGAGATCTGGCTCCGGTTCAACCACTTCCAACCTCCTCAGATCCTTCTCACATCCAGTTAGTTCCGCACCCTTGTTAGTATTGTGAGCTACACCCCCCTCCCCCCTTCCCCTCCCAACCCGGAGCCTAAAGCCCCATTGTTTTCCCAGCCATCTACTCACTACACAATGAGAATTCAGGTTGCTCTCATTACACACAGCCGGTTCTCTAACCCCCTTTCCCTTTCTCTGGAAGGCATTGGGGGTAATTTATGTGACCTCCCTTTTCCTGGGTGTTCTTGACGTTTGAGACCTTTTCTTTGGGAGTGGAGGTAGAACATTGCAATACCCCCTAGGCGGAGGCCTTGCATTCTGAGGAATTCTTTTCTTTCCCGTTTCTAGTTTCCTTAGAGGGCTTGCGAAAGGGGTAGTGTCGAGGCAACGGTTAATAGCAACAGGGCAAATTCAGCACCCGGATCCCTTTTGTAAGACCTGAGGGTGTCTAGCTCCAAATGGCTTTGTCTTTCTTCAGAATGCGGAAGAACTAAATCCTCAGCTGAGTCGCGGTTACCAATTCTGGGACAAGATTCTCCTATCCACTTGGAGTAATAAGTGACTCAAGTATCTTAGTCGTAGTAGGTGCGGTGTGGGGAATCACAAACCCTGGGATTTGTGTCCAAACCTTCAGTGGTGAGCCACAGGTGAATATGGCATAGGAGAGGCAACGGAAATAGCATCTTGTGATGAAGACGCAACGCTGCCCTACTCCCTTCCCCGTCCTACTCCTGGAGCTGAAGTCAGTACTTGAAACATACCTTGTGGATATGTTTACGGTTTTATTGTTGGCCTCGTCCGCAGCAGTGCACACCGGCTCCCCGAGAGTGGAGTCTTTCCTTCCCCATCTACCGCTGAATCCGCCCCTAGCAACATGCCCCTAGCACAGAAGAGATGCTCAGTGCCTATTATTGGAGATAATGGACACACGCGTGCCAACGCCACACGGCGGACCCCACCGCAGCCGCCGGAGCGTGGTGCAACGACCCCCCGAGGCCGCCTTCGCGGGACCCACCCGCGGGGGCCTCTGGGAAGTGTAGTCCGTCACGGCCCGGGAGTTGCGGGGCCGAGGCTCCGCGTGCGCAGGCGCACTTCCGGCTCTGCCCCGCCGCTGCGGCCATTGTCCGGCCCCGGTGCGGCTCAGGCCGCGGTGGGCCGTCCTTCCGCGCATCAGCATTGGAGGGGACTGAACCTGCAGCGGGCGCAGGAGGAGCTGGCGGGAGCCCCGGCGGGGCCGAGGCCGCGAAATCCGGGGTCCCCAGGAGGCGGTAACTCCGCGTGCGCGGGTCGAGGCGGCACCTCCCACGGGTCTGGCTTGGATCCGCCGGGCCGCGCCCACCCTCCGCGGGCGGCCCTGGGCGTGGCCAGACGACGGGGTCCGGGGCGCGGCGAGCCCTTCCCCGCGGCGGGCGGGACGGCAGGCCCACGCGCGGCCCGCGCAGCTCGCAGCCCTGGCCCGGAGAAGCGGCTGAGGGGAGGAGGCGGGCGGGCGCGGCGGGAGGCGCGGCGGGTGCAGCCGGCGAGCGGGCCCTGTCCTCTCTCCCCAGCCCCAGCCCCAGCCCCAGCCCGGGAGCCGGCCCCGGCGAGGCAGGAATGGCCCCGAGGCCTCCGACGGCCGCGCCCCAGGTGAGCAGCGCGTTCCTCACTCCCCGGGGCGCGCTTACAGCAGTCATTGTTCTCCGCCGGTGCGACTGCCTTTCCTGGCTTGGTCATCCCTTCAGAGCCGCCCAGCTGCGCGAACCCCAGCAGGTCCGAGCTGGGGGGAGGGGCCGCCCTGGGGGAGGGGGCACGCGGCGGTGAGGTTCTGCGGGAAGAGTTGAGTCGGCGTGTTGGGAAGTGTCACTGTTGAGAGTCCTGAGTGCCAGGCCAACTCCTTGAACTCCGTCAAGGACTGGAGAGGGTAGGGTGTCAGGATAGAGAACTCTAGAGGAGGTGGTTAACTGTTAGTAAGGGAGATAGGGACCCCAGCCTCTGACGCAGGGGCCAGAAGACCGTAAGGAGCCGAAAAAGTTTGGTCGGGATTTGGCTTGGGAGAGGCTGGAGATGGGCTTTCTTGGGCCAGGAGGGAAACAAACAAACAAAACCCATACGAAAGAGGAATGACCTCTCCCATAGCTTTTCGTGTTCTTTTTTGCTTTGATAAAAGTATAATAGTGCACACCCCCAGATGTCCAACCTTCAGCTTCATTAAGATGAAGCTGATTTTTATTTTTTTTAATTTTTTTTTATTTATTTATGACAGTCACAGAGAGAGAAGGAGAGAGAGGCAGAAACATAGGTAGATGGAGAAGCAGGCTCCATGCACCGGGAGCCCGATGTGGGATTCGATCCCGGGTCTCCAGGATCGCGCCCTGGGCCAAAGGCAGGCGCCAAACCGCTGCGCCACCCAGGGATCCCTGAAGCTGATTTTTAAACTCATTTATTCTTGTGAGGGAGGAGGCATTTTCTAGAAGCATCACAACTCTGAGGTTATGCATTGATTTACGTAGAGTATATTGGTGAAAATAAAACAAGGTTCAGATGGTATTTTAATCCACACTCTCCTTAGAATGAAGGAAAGTCACAGATTCTAGTTGCTAACTGCGTGAGACTATCAAAACCAACCCAGGGGCACCTGCCTGGCACAGTTGGTCGAGCATGTGACTCTTGACCTCAGGGTTGTGAGTTTGAGCCCCACAGTGGATATAGAGATTACTTAAAAGTAAAATCTAAACAAACAAAAACAAAAATACTGGCTAGTAATGTCCTATAAAAGCAGTTCACAGGGAATTAGGGGTGCCTGGATGGCCAAGGTGGTTAAGCATGGGACTCTTGATTTTGGCTCAGGTCATGATATCAGGGTCATGATATGGAGCAGGAGCCCCCCACCCCCTCCTGTCCTCCGAGCTCAGTGGGAGTTTACTTGAGATTCTCTCTTGCTTTCCCTCTGCCCTTCCCCCTGCTCGTCCACGCACGCACACACGCGCGGTCTCTCTCAAATCTTTTTTAAAAAGCAACTTCTAGTAAGTTAAACACAGTATGTGTAATGCCTTTATATCTTTTACTTGTTGAATGTTTTTGTTTTATAAGCATAGGGAGTAAAACAAGTGACAATAATAGAACAAGACAGTTTGGTTTGAGGTGAGCCAGGGCAAATCACTGGTCATCAATGCCTGTCCATATAAAGTGCTTCCTCAGCAGGCTGTGAGAATCAGGGTCGCTTAACACACTTAACATCTCTTGGAGGTGATGATCCTGGGCGGGGGCAGGGGGGGGCGGTAATAATCCTTTCCATTGGGGTCGCCTTTTTAATGGTGAAGTGGGTTTGTGTTCTGAGCAGTGAATTTTAGGCTGCTTTAAACTACACTTTCAAAGCTTTGTTGTCCCAGAACTCTAGTTCAGTTATATTCTCATGGAATGTCTTGACAGTCCACCTGGGTTACCTAACCCAGACTGCAGGTAATGACCCTGGAGGAAGGACAGAACAACTGACTCTACAGAGGGGGCTTTTTAGGCAGAAATTTCCCTTTGTAGGCGGTTCCCTATCTCTGAGTGTGGCCCTCTGGGGAATGCAAGAGATGAGTAATTGAGTCATGTGACTGCTTATCCTGGAGGTTAACAGTGAGGGAAGCCTCCTGCACAAGCATATAGCACAAGAGAGGTAGTGTTAGGTGTTGTTTCAGAGGTTCAGAGGCTGCTATGAAGACAGAGAGGAGAGAGGAAATTCTGCCCGTGGGAAAAAGTCAGTGGAGATGTACTTTTGAATAGGAGCAGAGTCCAACAAGCGAAAATGAAGGGAGTGGAGATAGAGCTGATTGACTTTGTGGGTTAGGGGCATGTTCATGAAACTGTTGTCCTGTGTGACAGTGGGTGTGGACAGCAGGCAGTGTTTAGAGGAAAATAGAAAGGAGTTTGGACTTTTTTCATTTTGGCCCTGGTAACCCTTTCATTCATTTACCAGCCTGTAGCCATTGAACCCCTGTGATTTGCAAAGACACTTTTCTAAGTGGTTGGGATACACTAGTGAACAAAATTTATAATCGTTTCTGCTTTCATGGGACTTACATCCTATAAGGAGGAGACAGAAAAATGCAGTCAGTAACTTTTTTTTTTTTTTTTTTTTAAGATTTTATTTAGGGCAGCCCGGGTGGTTCAGCAGTTTAGCTCCGCCTTCAGCCCAGGACCTGATCCTGGAGACCCGGGATGGTGTCCCACATCGGGCTCCCTGCGTGGAGCCTGCTTCTCCCTCTGCCTGTGTCTCTGCCTCTCTCTGTCTCTCATGAATAAATAAATAACATCTTTATTTTTTTATTTTTTAAAAAATATTTTATTCATTTATTCATGAGAGACAGAGGCAGAGACACAGGCAGAGGGAGAAGCAGGCTCCACGCAGGGAGCCCGATGTGGGACTCAATCCCAGGACTCCGGGATCATGCCCTGGGCCAAAGGCAGGCGCTAAACCGCTGAGCCACCCAGGGGTCCCCAACTTTTATACTATTCTAGAAGCTGACACTACAGGGGTGGGGGAGAAGGTAGAGAAAAGTAAAGGGGGATTGAGTGGGGAAGAGGGTGGGCTGTGGTAAGGATACAGCTTTTAAATAGCCTTCTTCTTAGTGAGATGGTGACATCTGGACAGACCAGAAGGCGGTTAGGGAGCCAGTGATGCAGAGGTCTAGAGAAGAGTGCTCTGAGCAGCAGGATGTGTGTGTCTGATGTGTTCAGGGAGCTGCAAGTGTTTGGTGTAGCTTGAGTCACTGTGGTTGCACAGGAAACTAAGATGGTTGCTTCTTAGTTTTAAAGATTGCTGTGAGTGACAAAGTGTAGGAGCAAGAGTCTGAAAGTCAGAGCTTCCGAGAAGAGGTGATTGGCTAGCGGTACCTTCCTCCAGCGTTTGGCTAACAAATACCTACCTGAAATGGCTCCAAGCTGGAGGGGAATGGGAGCAGAGGGGTTACCTCGAAAATACTTAAGATCAGGGATCCCTGGGTGGCGCAGCAGTTTAGCGCCTGCCTTTGGCCCAGGGCGTGATCCTGGAGACCCAGGATCGAATCCCACGTCGGGCTCCCGGTGCATGGAGCCTGCTTCTCCCTCTGCCTATGTCTCTGCCCCTCTCTCTCTCTCTCTCTCTCTCTCTCTCTCTCTCTCTCACTGTGTGCCTATCATAAATAAAATATATATATATATATCTTTAAAAAAATAAATAAAAAAAAGAAAATACTTAAGATCATAAATAGCTATATTTGTTTAAACCTTATGTATCTTTTTCTTCATTGTATGGGCACTGCATTTTTAGTTAGGAATTTTTTTTATTTTTTTTTTAGTTTTTTTTTTTTTTTTTTTTTTTTTTTTTAGTTAGGAATTTTAAAAGGTGAAACCACCATAACAGTAAGAAATGGGGAAAGTTTTGTAAGAAAAAAGCTGCATATGGAGACCAGGTTTACCTTGAAGGGAAGGAAATAGGAACCCGGACCTGGTCTCCACTGACTCCAGATCCCAAGAGCTCTGTGGTTAGACCAGCATAGTGAACAGGCTCAACCAAAGCTAGCTCAGGTCTCCCCAACTCAGACAGGATGCTTCTGGACCCCCCAGGGGCAGCCAGGCTACTTGTTGGACCAGGTCAGGATGTTTGCAGCCAGGAATGTTCAAGCTCCTTCTGTCCAGAGACACCCTTTCTTAGCCTCTGCTGAGCTGACTGGCGTTGAGCTTTAAGCCTTAGCCCATTCTTTACCCCGGGTCAGGTTAGGTGCCTCGCTCATGCATCCTCACAGCTGTTTTGCACTACCTTTATTAAAATATATCTTATGAGGGGCAGGTGGTCCAAAATTAGGCCCCTTTGATTTTCTGTTCCTTCTCTTGCTCTTTTCTCTCACAGTTTGCTGGCTTTCTCTCTTTTAAATAAATAAATAAAATCTTTAAAATATATATATATTATCAAAGCATGTGAGTTCTATATAATATACTTTTTTTTAAAGATTATTTATTTATTTATTCATGAGAGACAGAGAGGCAGAGCGGAGACAGAGGGAGAAGCAGGCTCCATGTGGGAGCTCAATGTGGGACTCGATCCCAGAACTCCAGGATCTCACCCTGGGCCACAGGCAGGCAGCCGCCCAACCACTGAGCCACACAGGCGTCCCTACTTTCTTTCTTTTTTAATAGGAAAAAGTAATTTGTGATCCCACTTTAGCATCTCTGCATGTGTTGTGATGAATTGTCTTCTCTTCCTCCCTATGCATGTTTTCCCTTAAGTATTTCAAATTTCATATAATTTTTATGAGGATTTTTCTTTTGTTTAAAAAAATACTTTTAATGGCTGTTTTATATTGGTTTGCATGAACAATCCAAAATTTACTTCTCATAGGTTTCTAAAATTTTTATGATTAAATAATATTAGGATAAGATTCTCTTGGTTAGGGATCCCTGGGTGGCGCAGCGGTTTAGCGCTTGCCTTTGGCCCAGGGCGCGATCCTGGAGACCCGGGATCGAATCCCACGTTGGGTTCCCGGTGCATGGAGCCTGCTTCTCCCTCTGCCTGTGTCTCTGCCTCTCTCTCTCTCTCTCTCTCTCTCTGTGTGTGTGACTATGATAAATAAATTTTAAAAATTAAAAAAGAAAGATTCTCTTGGTTACAAATGATCTTTTTTTGA